GAGAGGGAGAAGCAGGCTTCCCACCGAGCAGGGAGCCCGATGTGGGGCTCGATCCCAGGACCCTGGGACCATGACCTGAGCCGAAGGCAGACGCTTAATGACTGAGCCACCCAGGTGCCCCCATACTTTGAATTCTTTCTAAAAATTAATTTTCAGTTTAACTGTGAGACAAGGAAAACTGTGCTTCTGAGTAATTTGATATTCAAAGTAATTTGAATTGTTTAAATATTTTGGTTCCTTGTCTGGTACCAAAAATAATTTAAAGCAATTTTTAGTTATAATTTAAATTTAAAGCAAAATTTAGTTATAATTATTTTATATTGTATATTATATATTATTATATATAATAACGCTTATAATATAATAATATAATAGTGCTTCTCAATGATTCTTCCAGCTTTAAATACAAATATAATATATATATTATATATAATTATATATATGTAATATATTATATATATAATTACTATTACAAACTGTTATTACAGAACAATCAAAATACCAAAAATATGTAGATAATGTGACTCGTGAAACAGCTGCCCACAGATGCTAAAATCTTGGCCTAACCTAGACCAATTCTGCATCACACTGATCACCAATGCCTGTTTAAGAACTCCAAACCAGAATCAAAGATGGTAAGAATCTGGAAGGATCTGAGAGATCAGCTAGTTCCAGTTTTCAAACAGGCTCCATAAAGCCTAAGGTAGCAAAGGCCCCACCTAGGGATGGGGGTGGAGAATGATGGATAAGCACGCAGGGCTACTACAAAATATTTCACTTGTAAAACTGATGCGGCAGATAGAGGAAAGAAAACAGAAGAAGAAACTGAGGACCATGGTGGATAATTAATTTTCTGAAGTCACGTAACTGATTGGTGGTAGAAACAAGACCAGTATTCATTATTTGCACTAATACCAATAATCTTTTCTCAATTTTCTCCTAACTTAGCTCATCTTACATTGTTTAGCTCATGGGTTCTTAAATTTTTGAGATGATAAAATGTCAAGCGATAATAATGTATATGCCTAATCTTTTCTTCAAATTTTTAAAGGAAATATTGAAATAATTTAAGCTCTGAATGGAAAAATAAGAGATGTTGCATTATCTGCCATTGCTATTGTTGTGATATGGCTTCTATAAAAATCTGAATTATTTTTTCCACTATTTCTTAATAGTATAACCAGTATTCTATAGAACATAGTTTGAGAAATTTAGTGAACATTAAATATAACAACTCAATTCAATAATCATCTTATCCTTGACGGATGCAACCAGTAAAGAATGACATCTTTTTAGAAGATGAAAGAAAGTTCCATGGCTAGGTCAATATACTTAGCAGTGCTCAATTTATTGGCCAATTTGCT